AAAAAAAAAAAAAAAAAAATTGTATCACAACCTAAAGGTAAACATTTATTATAAAATTGCTTCTCCACTATGCTGATACTTGCCAAATAGAAGTGCACAAATGACCTATAAAAACAATCAATTAGCTTCTATATTAACAGACTATAAAATGTAGTCCTCTAATTAAACCCCCAAAAAAAATACAAAAATGTAGCTAAGCAGAAAACAAATGTAGTTTCTTTTTCTTTTTCTTTCTTTTTTTTTTCTGTATACAATCTATTTTGGTTACATTACTACTTGTTCAGGTCAGTGGCAGGCTAAAAATGGCACCTTTCTTTATACAATCCATTGGTTACATTACTACCTGTTCAAGTACTGGTTTATGTTCATTCGGCTCGTCTCGAAAATAAATGCGAATCCCCTCACCTGGAAGTTAAAAAAGATAAAAAATCACGCTAATCATTCGAAAACTGTCAAAATTTAAGGTAAAAGCCGTGTTTCGATCCTCTTAAACGAAGAATCGAAAAACACATTACAGATAATCCCATGATATGTGTTTCTGATATATACAAATTCAGTGACTTTGTGTTGTTATTTTGTGTTGGGCTAAAAATCCTCAGGGGGGCAACTTTTATAATGTGCTGATTTGAGAGTGCAATCACCTAAATATAGACTTATAAAGCATTTTGGATAGAAAAATTAGGCGGTCGATAAGCGAATATGCAAAATAAGTTGAATGGTACCTCGATAAGACAGCCAGAAGCAAGGCTTAAACTCTGACCACGGAACGCCTCTTTGCCGTTCACGTGAACCCAAGATTTACCGACGTTGGTCAATTGAAAATTACCATGCTTGTCCATTTTTATAATAGCCTAGTCAGTGTAAAAAATAAACATGAGTAAGTATCTGTGTTTGTACATTTATCATGCTTTGTAAATCTCTGTGACTGACATACCTGTCTTCGAGAAATTCTACCACCATTTTTTTCTCTTCCCAAGTCGATGTCAACTTTATTATCTTCAGTTACCCTGCCGAGTATCACCTAAAAGCCATAATCATATAGTTTCTTTTAAAAACAAACACAAAGTATTTTACGTCTTCTATACTATCTTAAATTTGCACTAGATAATATAGACCATCGTAATTGTATATGAAACGAACAGATTTACTTTGTTGACTTAATATTATTCTTATCCGATGAAAATTGCATAGAAAATCCTCAATGAACTTCAAGAGCTCGTGAAAAACAAAGTACCTCGGTTTTCTTTATGAAATGCTTCGACCAGCGGCCGTAAAGAACAGCAAATGCACAGTGAGTAGTAATGGCTCTGTGAGCACACGCCTCGGCTGCTTGCTCCAGCCTCACGATTGCTCTTTTAGATTCCTCGTGCGTGTATTGCTGGACTGCAATGTAATAAAATTTTTTTCATTATAGGCTTAAAAGTAGGTTGACAACTCTTGAAAATGCTATAAACAACCGATACACTGAAATCTCACTCAAAATCCTAATGGGGGTAAAAATGAGTACTTTTAAGTTGTAATACCTCCAAAGAGTTTAGTGTTAAGAGACTGCAACTCTCTGTAATAGATCACACACACTAGTCCCAAAGAGCATATAAATTACACACAAATTCTTATAAAATAAAGAACTACCTTCTGGATTTGTGTACAGATAATGTTCGTCCAGGCTCAAGTCCATATGTAGAATCTGGAGGATAAACATGAAGCAAATAATCGAAATTAATGAAAGCCAGAAAAAAAAAAAAGGAAAAAGAAACATAAAAATCTTGAAAAAAACTCGAGCTTTTTCTTACCATTGCTTCAACATCAGAAAAACAAGGCACATCGTCTTCCGACCACTCTTCAATATCCAATGCCCAAGACTCATCAAATGGCGGCAAGTCAATCGTCTTTCGGCAACTCAACTCACCACTATCCAATCCAACCTTTCGGATTTCCAAATTCACATTATCATTCTTCAAACTGATTGGCATGAACACGTCCTCGTTACTAGGTATCTCCGGGTCCTCAGTATTCAACACGCAGCAGATGACCCCATTTTTGTATTCAGGCCCGAGATCTTTCGCGGCAGAAATCGTTGCCTCGGGACTGGAAACTTCAATAGGATCCTCACAGACTGTGCTGTCCAAAAGCTGTGAGTCAATCTGACTCGGGGGAATATCGGATGTCAAAAGTGAGGAAAGCCCATCGAAATAAGACGTGTCAATATCATCATATGCACTACTATCCGAGAAGAGCAGGTCATCATCTGAAAACAATTTATCGGACAGGTCGGCCAAATAGGTCTCCATCATATTCGCATCGCTCGATGGCGGAATTACGAAATCGTCCCCGGCCATTTCTTGGTCCTGCTCCGCGATTTGAGGCATCGTGGAGGAGGAGCACGCGAAATTACGGAATGGCCCGCAGGCTCCAAATCCTGGGCCCTCCACACGAGTCTCGGACTCGAACAGATCATTATTGCCCTCATAACAGAATGAGAGGTCTTGAGCGACTGCTTGTTCGCCAAACTGAAGATCTTTCGGGGATTGAGGCCCGACATCAATGTTCGGGCCTTGGATTTCGAGCCCAGGGAGGAGATCGATGCCTGTGAGGTCGAGTGGTTCATTACAGATTCTTTTACGCATGGCATAATAACATTTTCGGATTCTCTCGGTTTTTCTTCTCTTCCCTGAGGTGAGGGATGCCTGCTTTACGAATCCTGAACGAACGATCTCTAACATATGAGAGGCTGCCTCGGAGGCAACCACTGGATCATAGAGAAGAGAGTACCAGCGGTCTTGAAGTTCTTTAACGGTATACCGTCGAGAAAATTGCACGGCCCCTTTAGCAAGAGATTCCAAGGAAGCACCAGCCTGGTGA